CCCCAAAACCCCAAAACCCCAAAACCCCGGAGAAAGCAATTGAACTGGCGTAAATAAAATTGGAAATTTATTAATTATCAAATGAAATTAACAGCAGTAAGTTTAAGATTAATACTGAAGTTTAAAATATGTTCTATTTAACTTAATTCACTCATTTTTTATTGGAGTGTAATGAGGAAGTTCTCTTTCCACTTTGAGATGCGAATGATTTAATGAATGCTTACTTCAAATTATATCTCTTTTTTGTTCCACTTAAGGGTTCATTTAGTTGCAAAATTTTTCTAGTAAGTGGAGGAAGTAGTGGTGAAGAAATATTGCTTAAATCACCCTTTCTTTATTAAGAGGTTGCATTAGCTTTTGCAATGTTTAATGATAAATTCCTTTCAGTTTTATTGATTGAATCAGTTTCTTGATAAGGATTAAATGAGATGTCATTAATTTTAGCTGATTAATACATTTTGTCTCTAAGTTTGAGCCTCTAAATTTGGTTGTGCTACTTATTTTATAATTGCAAAATTTATTAGGACTTGCTAGTACTTATTATATCAGTAGATCCCTATTTGCTTTTTTAAAGCTAAAATTCATTTTTATAACTTAAATATGGAAGCCTGATTTGATTTGATATTGGAATGGATTAGTTGCTTAGGGATTCAGAATTAGAGAATGAGAGAGTTCTAGTGTTTTTATCTAGTAATAAAGTATCTTTAACATTTTTGTTTTATTCCTTTTCATCTTTTATAATTTCAGGTAATATTATCATACGCTTCCCTCTCTTTGAATCAAACTAGTAAATTTGTTTTGCCTAAGTTTGACTAGCTAAGTACATTATCTAGTCATTTTAAATATTTTCATCTTATTAGCAAACATATCTTGGTTTAATTTCGGTCTAGCTGATGATTTGATATTCTTGATCAATTTAATCTTTTGAGATGGCCTAGTCTTGCCTATACATATTCTGAAGTGATAGACTATCATTTTATAGAATAATTTTGGTTCTTTTAAGCAAGGTTTTGAGCTTTCTCTTCTAAAAGAGCAGTGTTTTAAATATATCTTGATCAAAAATTTATGATTTGCTCTAGGGTGAACTGTATTCCTGAATATTTTTGGGTATAAACTCTAGTTTAAACATGAATGGCAGAGCGTTTGATTCTAAATTAATCTTTATCCAATTATAATAAGTTTACTATTCAAAACTTTTTTAAGGTTAACTAACGCACTAGTAATACTAATAAATTAATAAAATTAGTATTTACATTATTTGCTAATTTATAAATTCATCTTTGAGGGGTTTTGGGGTTTTGGGGAGATCGGAAGAGCACACG